GCGGGTCCCTCCGTCCCGTGGGAAACGGGAGGGATCGGGGGGTCCTTGGGGGCCCGGGGCGCTTCCCAGGAGGGAAGCGGGAACCCGGGAGGAAGCGGCACCGGGAGCAGCGCCCGGAGGCCACGGGGGACGCTCTGGGGCTCTCGGCGCTTCCCGCCGGGCTGGGATATGGAATAAACCAGGCCGGAACGGGCTGGGAGTCCTGCGCTGGGAATAGCGACACGTTCGGGATCCGGCAGCCCGCGGGAACGCGGATCCCTGGAGCTCCCGTTCGCCCGCGGATCCCCCCAGCCGCGGCCCGTTCGGAGTGCGGCTGCCGGTTGTCCGCCCCGGGTTTTCTCCGACAGCTCGGCGCGGCGCCGGCGGGAGCCCCGCGGAGGGTCAAAACGTTGGCGGTTCTTGCGGAGAAACCGGATCCGATAGTCGGAGCTGGGAGAGGCGGCACAGGGCAGAGCCCCAGAAATGCCTTTTTTTGCCCCGTTTCCGCGTCCCGACGGGCTGTCAGTGCCAGGACGACGGCGGCTCCCGGCTCCGGATGGGCCCGGGATCCCGTCCGGACGCTGATGCCGAGCGGGCGAAGTCGCACAGGGAGGGCGAAGCGGGGGGCGTTTTCCATGACGTTTTCCATAGCATTTTCCATGGTGTCCTGGAAGGCAGCGGCTCGTGTCCCACGAACCCGGCATCCACGTTTTCCAGGTTTGGAGCTGGGATCCTCAATGGTCTCCCGGGCTTTTCCCAGCCTTTCCTCCAAGCCCGGCGTTCTCAAACCTCCCTCCGGTCTGTTCCTACCTGGAGCTCCCTCCTGGCATGGGAATTCCCTCATCCGTCTCTCTGAACCAAGCCAGGATTGAAGCTTTTCCCTCCGTGTCCCATGGGAAGAGCAGGATGAGCTGGAAACGGAGCAGTTTCTCCTATAAATCCCGCGCTTGGCTTAAACACCATCCCGTCCCAGCCCCGTGTCACTGACACGCGTGTGTTTCCTAGAACCATGGAATCATGGAATGGTTGATATTCCGGCTCTGTTTCCACGTTTCTTCCATTGGCCTTCCTGGCACAGCAAAATCCAGCCTCCCCCTCCGCCAAAACTGCTGTTTTGGCCCCGATTCCGCTCTCGGATCAGGGGGATTCGGATGTCCAAAGGATGCCGAGTGGTGCCGACCCGCGGCGCGAATCCGGGCTGAGCCCGGGAAATTCCACGTTTTGTGGCATTCGGCAGCGTCTCCCGCACCGGATCCGCGCCGGGAAAACGGAGCGGGATGGGAAGGGGGCAGCGGCTCCGCGTGGCCATTTCGGGTCCTTGGTTGGTTTGGGGACGGAAACGGCCTCGTCCTCCGTCTCCTTTCCCAAGCGGGATGGAGCGTTGGGAAGAATCCGCCCGATACGGATGCGCACGTGTATGTATAGACACACATATGTGCACGGCAGCTTCGCTCATCCTGGCGTATCCGTGTGAAAAGGTGATTCCGGAGCCGTATCAAGATTCCAGGGAATGGTGCGTTTTGTGGCCAAATCAACCCCAAAATGATGGTTTTTGTGGCAAAAACCTGGAGAGGCCGAGGTTGGAGCTGAGTTCCTGGGTCTGCCCTTCCTGCGCTTCCTCCTGGGAAGCGGGAATGCTTCTCCCATCTCCTGCTCTTCGGGCACCTTTCCATGGCGGCCGTGCGGGATCGGCGGGTCGCGTTGGAGGGGCCGGCTCATCCGGAGCGGCCGTAATTAATGATAATTCATTAATTGCAGCCCCTCTGGGTGCCCCTGCGGCGTGCGCTCGGGTTGGGGGTCGGATGCGCTTCCATGGAGAAACCATGGGGCAAAAAAGGCCATTCCCGAGTGATAACTTGGAGTTAAAGCATCAAAGCGACGGACAGAAACCTACGTGGTTGGACCACGGCCGCTCCGGAGAGGCCTTAAAGTGAACGTTGGGAATTCCCTGGGAAATACACAGGATTTGGTTGGAATGGAAACGGATGTTAAGTGACATCCGCTGTGTGACAGGAAGGGGGTTTAACGCCAGCAGGGTTAAACCAGGCCTAACTATCTGCTGCTAACGGGGCCGCGTTCTCTCTTGCAGCGCATGGTGAGCAGCTTTAGGGTGTCGGAGCTGCAGGTGCTGCTGGGCTTCGCGGGGCGCAACAAGAGCGGGCGCAAACAGGAGCTGCTCTGCAAGGCGCTGCAGCTGCTGCGCGCGGGCGGCAGCGCGGCCGTGCACACCAAGGTGCGGGAGCTCTACGGGCGCCGCATCCCGCGCAGGATCCTCACGCCCTCCGACTTCGCCCCGGCGCCCGCGCG